TATATATATATATATATATATATATATATATAAATAAAATACATACGTATTTCCAGGGAACAGACGTCAGGTCTCAGTAGTAGAAGGAGCGCGCAAAAGCTGAGAATCATCGTCGGACGATCGTTCTTCATGTTTTCCGACGGTAGTAGTGGTGGCCTCATGAGAACGTAGAACAACCAACTGAAAGAAGAAAATGACGAAGAAGAAAAAAAACAGATGAACGATAACCATCATCTTAAATTCATGTCGTTTCGTTTCGTCATTCGTAAAATGTGTGTGTGTTTCCTTTTTGCAAGTATCGTCGGTATTAGAAAAAGAGAGAGATACCAAAAAAAAAAAGAAGAAAAAAAAAATAACAGGAAAATAGTCGAAGCTTTAGCACGTTGTAAAATTAAAGGTAAAAATGAGCACGATTCGTTGGTTGGTTGGTTGGTGGGTGGCTCGTTGAGAAAAATGCTTGAGGTAATAATACGCAAACGGTCGGAAACGGTTCTCTTTTTATTTTTCCTTAACCACCCCCACCCCAAAGTTCCCCCCTCTCCTTCTCAACTCTTTCCTCTCCTTTCTTAAAAATGTCAAGTCCTCGTAGGAAGGAATTTTCACGAGAGACTTATTGTCCTATTAAATATTACGTTCCGGCCTTACCATCTGCTGCTACAGACAATTACCATAATTTTTTAATCGTCCTAAGTACAAGTCCCGACAGTCGTTCACAATCATCATCATCATCATCATCATCATCATCTGCCTCCTCCCTCCTCCCCTGTACAATAGAGGAACGAACAATATATTTCGTTCGGCGTAAATTGTTACGACTTTTGCGATAGTTCGTGAGATATAATATTTTATTGTCTGGTCTATTTGATTTCGTTAAACTTTATTTTTCTATCTTAGATAAATTTTTTGTTTTCTCTCTACAAAAAGAACAAAATCATATTAGATTGAATTAAAAGTTCGTGGGTTTATTGTATTTTTTGTTTTTCATCTATTGCAATTATTTATTCGAAGTCAATAAAATGACTTTATACGCAAGGTGTGATGTTAATTTAAAAAAAAAACAAAAAAGAAAACTTCACAAACATTCGGTTTATCATTTTTAATTCTTGTATTATTTCAAATAATAAAATATATCATCAGTCAGGGAATAGATGAATTATTTATATTATAATAATATAATATAGGAGAAAGAGAATCCGGATAATCAGTAATATTATTTTCCAAAATTCATATCGCGTATATAAAACAGTTGGCATGGGAAGGTGGTTTGAAACGATGGGAGGGGAAGGGTGGAGAGGTGGATTTGAAAACATGGATAATTTTCATAGTGGATAAAATCAACGTAAAATCCTACATCAAGAGAGAGAGAGAGAGAAAGAGATAAAGAGAGAGGGCTAGGTGATTTCGAGTAGTTGAGAAAATAAAGTAAAAGCTGAGGAGAGTAGTACCTTGGAGATAGCAGGAAAAGAGAGAGAGAGAGAGAGAGAGAGAGTGAGAGAAAGAGAGATAGTAAAGTTAGATATAGGAGGATAGGAGAGAAAGGGTCACGAGGGTGCTATGTTGGCCTAATTGGACGGAGACTCGATTACGAGTAGGTCTTTTCGTGTTTCTTTAGGCGACACACGTAGTATATACTAACACGTAGAACAGAGTATACGAACTATCGAAAGCTGACCCCCTGGTTCTCCAGCTTGAGCTTGCCAAGAAAAAGAAAGGGACGTTCCCGACGTGGTAGTTTTGCTCTTAAGTCGATTAAGCTCTTTTTAAAATCCCCCACCATCACCGCTTTGGCATACTCTCCTCCCTCGAGGGGTGGAGTTACGCCTTTCTATTGGTAGAAAACGTGTCGTTTACTTTACTATACTATGGTGAAGACACATTTTTTTTTTTCTATAAAAAGGAATCTTTGATTGTACGATGGTATACACATTAATATAAAATAAGTCATATTAATTTAATGAATAATAATGTATCAATAATAAGATCTGTTATATTAACTAACATTAATTTTTCATTTTACAAAACGTTAATTTATAAGATTTTACGAGTTAACATATTTATTATGGTGAAAAGAAATTTTTTCTACGAAAAGAAATTTTTGATTGTACGATGGTATATNGAGAGAGAGAGAGAGAGAGAGAGAGAGAGAGTTAAAAAGTCGAAGGTAGAGAAAAAGAAAGGGAAAGAAAGTTTGAACAAAAAGTGGTTGTACAATTATTAGATAAAAATCATTGAAGATATTATTAACAATTTGTATCGACGAAATATAATTTGATTATTCAATTGACATTTGTCAAATATTTATTTATTTGCTGTTTATCGAATAAAGTAATTTATTTCTTTTTTTTTTTTTTTTTTTATAGTGTGTACAATAAAAAAAAAATCGGTTACAAGAAATTATTACAAGAAAAAATCGATTATCAATAATCTGTTAATTCTGTTGCATGTATATGTGAACATGTCTCTCTCTGTGTGTGTGTGTGTGTGTGTGTGTTTGTACAGAGGGCAAAATTAAGTAAATAAAAATAAATGATAAAAAGAAACATCAAACAGAATATTCAATATTTCGTTTCATTTCGTTTCAATCTCGTTATTACGTTGCTTTTTCTTTTTTTTTTTCTTTTCATTTCTAAATATTTGATCAATTTATTTATCTTGTTAAAAATTGATTTTTATTTTTTTTTTTACAGTTATCTATTAAAAATTAAACGTTATATCTATATAAAGTGTAAAACAGGTTTTAAATGTTCCTTTATTATTTTTTTTTTCTTCTTCTTATATACGAGACTTGAGATGTTGATGTCAAGAAGACAGAAACTATCTGATATTTTCTACGTATTCATTGGGTGACACGTAAAAGTATCGAATACAAAACGTTAGGAGAATTTCAAATAAGGCATTAAATCATGCCGAGGAGTTTGAATAGAGAAAGAATGAAAAAGAAGGAGAGGGAGAAAGAGAAAGAGAAAGAGAAAGAGAGAGAGAGAGAGAAAAAGATTCGGCGAAAAGGCCCCATCCCTTAGAAGAACGTTCAGCACTCTTGGTAAGCGTCTGATTTAGTATGCATACTGGGCCCGTGGAATAAAAGACGTATCTGACGGAGATAAAAGTGGAAATATCGAAGTACGCTATGAATAACGTCCAACTGGATAGGTTATATGTATCGAACGTTGAAGGTATCAAGGTAGGTAGGTAGGAAGGAAGGAAGAAGAAGAAGAAGAAGAAAGAAAGAAAGAAAGAAAAATGAAAATAGAAAAGAAAGAAGAAAGATGAAGTAAAAAAAAGTTTAACGTGCGTGTGGACTAAAGAAAATGTGAGAATTCCGAGCAATCCATTCGTAGGGAAGTGAGCTGCTACAGGAAGAACAATAAATCTCAACTCGGTTTTTTTCAGATCAACCGAGAAAAAAAAAAGAAAAAAAGAAATAGAGAGAGAGAGAGAAAGAGAGAGAGAGAGAGGGAGAGAGGGAAAGGGAGGGTTGAAAGTAATATTCCAATAAAAGCTCCAAGCTGTTTGTTCGGAGTTGCGTGTACGAGTAGGACCGTTAAGAAACTTCAGTATATGCTGTAGAAGGGCTAGGGCTAGGGGAGGAAGAGATGGGAGTGAGTACTTTTCTAGTAAAAGAGTGCAAATGAACCGAATAGCGCTTTTTAACGAGTTTTCATGGGGGAATAGGCCTGGGATAGTAAGCAGAAATAGTGGTAGGAGTTGTATTCCAAAAGAAAAATAATAGGAAGAGTGAATATTCCCAAAGCTTACTCGTTAGTTTTTGGTAGTCCATGTCTTTTAAGCTCATTATTAAAAAACTGCTGTTTGGAGGGTTTTTTTTTTTTTTGACGTTTAAACAAACGCACATACGTATTCATTTATTACATCGTTTAGGTATAATAAACGTTAATAATGATTTACAAATTAGAGAGAGAGAGAGAGAGAGAGAGAGAGAGAGATTTTTTCTTCTTTTTTTTTTTTAATAACGCGTACTTTATAAACATTCAACGTGATATATCCTATTAAAAAAGTTTCGTTAAGTTTTTGAAACGAAGAATATTTCGTTTTACTCTGACCTGTGTATTGTAGTAGTTGGTTTGTAAGTATAATAATAGCAAGAAGGACACGTAGCAACTACAGCAAACAGGCACCGATGATACTACTACGTTTCAAGACGACAAAGAATACGAATATTTCCGTGACTATGGTTTGAAAAATAAGAAGAAGAATAAGAAGAAGAATAAGAAGAGTAAGAAGAAGGAAGGGTGTGGATTTTACGTGCAGGATGTTTCTTCTTCTACTTCTTCTTCTTCTTCTTAGGATTGACGTGCTTCTTATAAAGTGGAGAGGGTATTCCGTGAAAACGGATGCGGTACTGTCTGGTATAAAGTAGATAGGTAGATAGGAGGTAAGGGTTGAAAAGGAGTAAGAGAATTAAGCTCAGGAAGAAGAGATGAAGAAGAAGAAGAAGGAAGATAGAAGAAAGAGAAAGAAGAGGTTGAAGCTTAGGGGTAGAGAAAGGTAGAAAGGCACGTCGTGGCTTCTGCCACGCTAGGAAGGTCGATTGTTCTTCGCAACCGACTGTGTCTCATTACTTCGAATTGGCTGGCCGTAGACAATGCCAGCGGATAATACGGTTATCCGGAAGATGGTTTTCAGCGCGGTCTTCTCTCGCGAAGCAGCTCGTTTCTTCCTTTACACTCTTCCCTATCATCATACTTGGGGAATATATATATAGTATATATATATATATATTATTTTATATATTTTATATAAAATATTCTATATGTATATATGTACATGTATATAAATCCTCTACTCTTCCCAAGGCTATGGGAATAGTAGAACGAATGAGAACAAGAAAAGAGAAAGAGAAAAGGTGATGGAGAAAAAGGAAGAACAGTAAGGAAGGATGCAGTTGAAGAGGTTGAAAAGACGAGAAACGGTGGTGGTTGGGTATAAGGGGTTGGGGAAACTGGTGGTAAAGAAAGAGAACAAAGGGACCGTTGACTGACAAGACAATGGATCAGCGCGCGCATAATCATTTGCTATCTCTCTCTCTCTCTCTCTCTCTTTCTTTCTCTTTCTCTTGGTGAGATAAGAATCTTTGATTCTTTGAGAGAAATGGATTATTAATCTTGGGATCCAATTTGAAATTTCAAATCACTTTTTCGTTGTTGTTGTTGTTGTTGTTG